GACGGCCGTGTGCACTCCATATTATGTGGTACAGGAATAAAAAAACATTGACTCAAGATATGCCTTATGCAACGGCTACGTTTAATTGTCTAGTCTCGTGGCGCAACTTTTCCGCAACCTTTAGAATTATGCACAGGCATACTTTGATGACTTTGTTGATAGTATTCATGCCTAAAACGTTCGTTAAGATTTCAGTATACACAACGGTAATCTGCGAGCCATACTCGAGTGAATACGCAAGAATTAGCTAGATGTAAGTGCGTCCAAATATAGCTTTGATGTAGAGGAAAATCCATGTCGAGGATTTTCTATCGGTAAGCGCGGACTTAGATCAGATGTGGCTAAGTTTATGGCTATAGATGATGGTCCAATTAATCAGGAACACAGACTTACGTATGTGGCTTGGCCTTGCCGATTACTTACGCAAATGAAGTAAAAATTATGCTGATATGGATTGGCTATTAACTGAATTTCATAAAAAGGACACAGTTTGGCGCCGGGAAAATGCCCATGATGACGCATTTTTGCGGGCAGTAAAAGAGAGTCTTCTCCATTACTCTCATTTTGGCATAATCAGATCTTAATTACTCTTTTAGTGTCGTCTGTGACGCGTTCGACTTTGCTATAGGAATCGTCATGTTACCAATAGATGATAAAGGACGCGTGCGTGCTGTCACAGTTCATTTTCGTTAGCTGAAAGCTGCTGAAAGAACTATATTGCTCATTTAGAATATTTTCTTGCCAAGAAATATGCCCTGGTCATTTTGTGAGATCAACTGACTTGGCTCCAAGCACTTCGTCGCCTACACGAAGCATGCAGCATTACGCAGTGCGACACATTCGCCTCACCTTGCGTAGCAAATAACTAGTTGGCTTTTCCTATTTCCATGCCTTATGGGTAAGACTAAATTGCGAGAAAAAGTGTGCTACTCGATGAACTCTCTCGCCGACCTACTTTGAGCTTGCTCGTGCTACCAAACTGTCGTCTACCATCGAGAAATGATTATTGTGTCATAGCACGAAAATTCAATCCGGCACTGAAATATGCTCTTGAGGCGAAAAATACAAAGTCTCGGACAGCTTTTGATTGGCGCAATTTTGTGCTGGCCTGAATCAATATTTCATCTAACATGACCTCTAATTTTTGCGCGGATATTATGGGCACTCCTCGCGTCATTGTACTCCACGATGGAGATTAAATTTGTTACGATCTTTGAAGCACATTTTGATTCTCTCAGCGGGCATTTAAGACGGTAAAATACTTACGGATTTGTGAGCGAACACTAGTGGTAGCCAAAAACATACAAATGGGTGAGCACATACTTGCGTACATGCAAAAATTACCAGCGGTCAAACTCTCTACACATTTCTCTGCGCTGCTCGCTGGTTTACCTGTACTCACTTATTATTGGGATTCCATCAGTACGGATTCCGCGTTCGAACATCCCAAACACTGTGACGGCAATATGGGAAAAGTGTTCTCTGTTGAACAATTACGCAAGATGAATCACTTAGCGGATGTTCCAGAGTCAATAACGATAAAGGTACAGCTATGATGAATATTTGTTGTGTTCACTTACTCGGGTTGCCGCTGGCTAGCATCTTTGACATTGGCCATCAATTCACCGAAAATATTAGGACTTCTGTCATAAGGTTCTTGGCACAGGATTGGATGTGCATACAGTGGATCATCAGCAGAGAGATGTTCCAACCGAGCTACTCAATCGCCTAATCGGATACTATCTTCACAGTTTTAAAGCTACATCACGAAATCATAGAGCTCAATGATCCCTAACGTTGAGTTTAAGTTTAACAGTTGGTGTGAGGAGAAAATGTAGGAAGTCGCCTTTGACTGTTACGTCTCTGGAAGTCTCGACGCGATGTCTTTGTCGACTTCTCGACAAACAATTTTTTTTCAACCTATCTATACTAGAAGGAAGGCTCCATCCTCACGGAATGATCTCGTGAAGATCGCGAGGGAGTTAAATCTTGCCAATTTATTTCAGGGAGCTCGCGGGCCATATGTTAATTTATGGCGAGACGTTGCTACAGGGGTTGCTGATATCATCATCGCACTAAATAATTTGATTTGTTTGCCGTATACACCCGCGTGACCAAATGTTACCTGATTTTTTGTATAATAGAGACTGCTCAGCTCGTTTAAAGAGAGCCATGATTATAACTGTCTAAACTCCCAATCTTAAACAACGCCCGCTATTTACATGGAGCCCGTGATCTAGGACTCGTGTTCAAAGACCATTCACCGGACAAAGCAGGACTAGTAATTGACTGTGATGCTTCCTTTTCGACGGAACATGAGTCGCGGTCTGTAACTGGCTACGCAATTTCAATAATGAAAACCTCGTTCAATGGGGATCGATCAAACAATCGATGGCTGCGCTGTCATCTACCGATTCAGAGTACACTGCGCTATGTAATGGCGTCCAAGAGTGTAACGGGCTCAAAATGGTGCTGCAAAACATCAAAATTAATGTGGATAAAATATTAGTGCTGGAGGACAACCAAGGCGCTCAAAATTTGGCGCAAAGCAAGGCTGTGATGCCATGATAGCGTCATATTGACACTAAATATCATTATTTGCGTGAGCATATAGCTAGTAGTGGTGTGCCTGTGCAGTATTTTTCTACCAATGAAATGATTGCTGATCATTTCACGAAGCTATGGGAGGAACAATTAAGAGTATTTTTGATACAAATTTGGCGTTCGTCGAGTGGGAGTGTTGGACGTGACGAAGAACACGTCATCTACAAGAACAGCTTGAAGAAGAGTTGATGTTGATTTGTCTGACATTGGCACACTCGTGTATGAAAGTTGACCTGTAGAAGTCAGCTTAAGACATCAGCCGCTATGATGAGGCGAGTTAAAGATGCAAGGTGTAGCTGTCATGATGAAGCAATACATCATTCAAAATTGCTGAGGACACATAAGATAAGGCCATGAGACCAAGGACAGTAACCATTTGACTCATGTACAACAAGCAGACAGCTTGTTGATTATTGTTAAGACCTCATCAATTACTTTCCAATTTGCTATCTCGAGCTCAGGCTCACTTCCCGCAATTTCTACCTTGCTTAGTTTGTTGTGGATACTTCTTTTCAATATCTCAAAAAGATGTTCTTCCCTATCCCACGTGATTCGTACTATTAAATACTGCGTTACGAACGTTGACAATATGATCCGTCCTGGAATGTACCACACAGCACGAGATGGGATGCGGGCGAGTCGTTAACACTCCGCATTCAAAATAATCTTATTGTCGTTCGTCGATATTCAATTAATTTTCTACATATATAATTCTGGGTGAATCAAGGGGGCGTAAAAGAATAAAGACATCTGTTTGTTATGTAAACATTTTCAAATTAAAAAAAACCGGAACATTTAAACATTCTGCCAAATGACACATCGACGCGTTATACAGGCTTGTAACGATGATTTGGTTTGACCCTAGCTGTAGCGGAGCTACTCAGCGCCCCTTAACAGAAAAAAGGAAGTCATAGACTCAAAGAGTCTCTTAGTTGTAACAAACTAACAACGACGTACAGTCGCTCAAGCGTACAAGCTTAACAATCCCTGTTCCAAAGGGATTACGATTTACAGGATCACACGCTGATTAGTAACTACTAGTTAAACAAGAATAAACGCCTTCACAAGGCTAACACTCTTACAACACGCTATGCCTTGACTAGGCACTAGCGTTCAACGATTCAAAAGGGGAATAGAACTTTAATTGTTCTGTTAGCAACGGTAATGAAACCCTAAAACCTTGCCTGAATGAATTCTACATTATGATCTTATGACAGAAGTCTGATCCCTTATCCTTACTCGATAAGGTGCGGTATTACCGTAAGTACGTGGTATTAAGACTGTACTACTAAGATCCACCGATCTTTACCTTGTCTGGACACGCTACATAACCGGTTTAAGTAACCGCGTGTAACCACGTTAAACTGGCTATCCAATGGCTATCCGTATCCTACCAACGGATCACAAATTCTTTTTCAGGAAAATGAGTATTTTTGACAGTAACTGTTGCCCAGAACCCTCGTCACCCAGTAACGATTGCTCAAAAACCTTGTCAAAAGTTTAACTATTCCACCAAACGTCAAGATGGTTTCACATTCCACCAAATGTTAAGATCACTTTCGAGCAATCACATAGATTAAAGTTATCTTCACATCTCGGCTTTGACACTTCTCAACTCGCTAAAAAAACACTGCATTGTAATTGATGCGTGTATTATGTCTTCACAATTTTGCTGCCTGCACGTTTATAAAGGACTGCTTTATGAGTACGCCGTCAGCGTCAAACATTCGGGTTTGTTGGAATATGCATTCAGCTTCTACACTCGTTGTGCTAAGTAAGCTTTGATCACACCGCAAAGGATTTAATCATTCCACTTTCATTTTCACTTTCAGGGACCCTCAAAGCATATTGAGGCGCTCATGTGCCTGCAGGTCTGGTCGTTTCTAAATATGTGTGGGCAGATTGTTCGATGATTACGTCCCGCAGTAACCTGCGTCCCGTCTCGTCCTGCATGGGATGGGACGCGGGATAGGCCAATCCCGCCCCATCCTACGCCTGTGGGAGCCCGATTGGCATTGTGCGGACTGGGTTCAGGAACCCTAGCCAACCCTCGCGCTGTGCTGACCAAGAAAAGATTAGCCGAAGTGGAAGAGCCTTGTTTGTGCTGATCCCATGACCTCGAAACGGGGTAGGTGAATCTACCATTCAAAACTCAAGTCTAGCGAACACATCTCTCTCGCGTATCTCTTATGATGTGGTGGCAGTGTCCATTGCAATATTTGATCAGTCTGTGGCACGATGCAGCGCCCCTCATCACGTGTTCCTCCGTCCCACGCGCCTAATGGTCACTTGCTACTAAATCAACACACACATCTTCTACTTCTGTATCTCACGGGCGCTGGCGCACTCGTGGATGGCAGCTCTTTTAGGTCGTCCTGGGGCTCTACGTAGCTGCAATGCTCCGCTCTTTCTTGACGTCCCCGTGGTCCGAAGCTCCTCTCGTCCTAAATCTCCGAGAGATGAAGGAGAACGAGGCTCCTGCACAGCCTCTTCATCTCTTCCACCAGAATATGCAAATGGCAGGTTCCGTCAGCGTGGCGCCGATTGCAGAGAACGTGGATGAGCTAGAAGGAGGGACTGGGAGCAATGAGCTCGTACAGGAGCAAAATGAAAGATCTGGAAAAGTGTTGACCACGCTCGGGACGGAAAAAGGTGTGGGCGCTTCGTCGAACAGTCTTGAGGAGGCGCTGGGCTCTAGAGGAATGACAGACCTCTTTGCTAGTGCTACGCCGTCAACGTTAGCCCCAACAACAACATTTGTTTCCTTGCACTCGGTCGATTTACAAGTTTACGGAACATTAAACGCTTGGTCTATTCCGCCACGGCAGAACGACGAGAGTTTGCTACCCGAAAATAAGGAAGGAACTGACAAAGAAGCATGGAAGGTCAAGGATTTTGTCGGGAACGAAGCTACGGAGACACCCAAGATATCGCTGCCAATCGACGAGTCCAGACCACATGTGCGGCGCTCACAGGAATTTACTGATGCTTTAAACCTTGTCTATTCGCTTGAGTTGAGTGCGGCCGGTCCTGGTACAGGTGCCAAAAACGCCGCACTTGTTACCGGATTACGTGATGGTGCATCAGATCGCGATCTGTGGAAGATTGAGGATTACGAGCATCAAATTAGTCGCTTAGAAGGGATTAAGCGGGAAGCCAATGAAGAGTCTGAGCGTTTAAAGGAACTCGTCAGTGCAACAGGCAAGCTTATTCTGGAAGAAAGATACAGCTTGGAAGACGTTCGCGCGGCCAGTACAATTGATTTACGCTTCCATGAACCGCGCCGGGTCCGGAACAATTTGAAATGTATGGGATGGCGCCAAACTGGACAATGTAGCTCGTACGGCAAACGTGAACCAAGCTCTGACAGTGATTGCACGCAACTTGTCCATGCTGGTGTTTCTGGATATTGTGAGGTGATGGACGAAGATACCGGCGAATCTTTCCGCGTCATGCAACTCAACTGTTCCAGTTTGCTTGACCGTGTTGCGTTTTCATGTGCAGATGCTACCGATTTTGCTATTTTGGACTCATGGCTCAGAATGTTTACGAGAATGCTTTGGCTCAAAATACATCGGATCCATCGAAGCTATTGGGAAACAGTGGCACCGGCGATGGCATTGTCATTGTGGTGTACCCGAAACTTGTAGCTAGTGTATTTGCATCGGTCAGCGTCTTACGATCGTATAACTGCACACTGCCAATTGAGCTATGGATTTCGCAAAATGAAGTGACGCGCACTCCGAGCATGGGAGCAGCTTTGAAAGTCTTGCAGCAGCAATTTTTGGATGTGAGCGTGGAAACCATCGTTGACCCGACAATTATGAAGTTTTCCACTAAAATTTACGCCATGCAACACAGCAAGTTCGAGAATGTATTGTTTCTTGACGCGGACAGCGTTCCCGTGCGTGACCCGACGTTCCTGTTCCGTAGTCAAGAATATCGCAAGCATGGTGCTATCTTTTGGCCGGACTTCTGGCATCCGGACAATACCGTGTTCGGCATTCACCGCGAGTCACTGTTGTGGGAGCTTGTCGATCTTCCCTTCGTTGACATGTTTGAGCAAGAGAGTGGGCAAATACTCATCAATCGGAAGCGGGCTGCGCTCGCACTGGAGGTGCTTATGTTCTTTGCGTCACATCTCCCCAACTACTTCAACCGACTTTTACTGGCTCACGGCGACAAGGATCTCTTTCGACTAGCCTGGATGAAAGCACATGCGTCCTTTTACATGATGCCATTCCCACCTGCTTCGGCGGGCCCTGTGTGGGGAACGAACTCGGAAATCTTTTGTGGCATGACTATGGTCCAGTTTGACGTCGATGGCGATGTTCTGTTTCTTCACCGCAACGCCAAGAAACTTGGCAGTACGGCTGATCATCACGACTCGCCGTTCTGGACCCATCTGCAGACGTTCAAGTGGGAGCGACCGTTAGCAGTGGACGATGATGAAGACACTGTGACTACATCGAATCGGACGGCAGTGCAGCGCTTGCGAAGTCACGAAGACATGAAGCAGATGTATCGTATTGGCAATGTCGGGAACGACAAATATTTCAAGGGTCTTGATTCTTGCTACGGCGCAACTGTCGACACTATGGAAAACTTTGAACTCACGAAGTTTGAAGATTACCAATGGCTAATTTAGAGCAGGAGCTAATTAGCTACGCGCACGAGGCTCAACTCCTGATGGAGCTGCCTAGAAATGGCATTACGATGACGACACCCGATTTGAAGCCAAATGTAACCGTTCGACGGTCGTTTTGACAGCACTTTGTATTCATTCGTCCCGTTTTCAGTGTACTCGCTTAGGTGCGTTTCGTTCTCTCTAAATACGATGCCGTCACGCCGGTTGCCGCTCGCGCTCTTGCTGCTGCCGCTCGTACTGGGGCAGCAGTGCACTCACTACTCTCGAGACGATCTGGTCGCTCGCCTGGAATCACGAGTGTCCAAGTGTCTGGGTCCGAGTGCCTGATCCACTGCCATCTCGACGCTGACTGAGCGCTTCGTGGCCAATGATTTCGATAGCCACGAGCCACTGGCACTTGTGCTGTTCTCCACGTCTAGCGATCTGCTGCACCCTCTGGCTGGTGCTGTCGCCTCGTCGCTCTTCGGCGCTTCTCGATCAGTAGACACGGTGCAACTTGTCGACTTTCAGACGCTCCTGGAGCCCTTGCGGGAAAGTAATTACGACATGAAACAGACGCTTCGATCTGCTCTCGCCACACCTCTTAGTGCCTGTCCCCAGCACAGTCTTTCATCTTTGACAATCTACAGGCACTAAATGAAAATACTTTGCCCGTCTTGGACGTCTTCCTTGACCCTTTGAACGGCAAGCGCGCTCAGTTTTAGCACTACGTCAAGAACAAAGCCAGCCAAGGCATCGACTGCTCGAACTCCGAATTCCGTGTTCCTCTTTGTGCACAAAGTTACAATAAGGAGTTACACGACGGTGGGGATCACCGGAGTGGTGTCGCACACGGAACGATCAGTGAAGATTGAAGACTAGTCATTGTATTCAACACGCGATCGGTACAACCGTACCCTACCGATTACGATTGAATGATTTCTATCGTGCAATGGCATCGTAAGTACGTTTTAGGTTCTGATGTTGTAACATCAGAAGAACCTATATTGGGATTCAAGAAAAGTAGCAGATTTTAAAGGTTAACTATTAAGATGAGGCTTTATCGCTGTAAATCAGTAAATAAAGGGAGCCGTTAAGCATCCACCCCCTCACGATTACGATGCTGTGATTGGTCAATTAATATGCAATGAACACTTTAATCCTTGTTCGGTCGGACAAGGAATAAAAACGAGCACTTTCCACCAGCAGCAGGTACATGCGAATACTCACCTTCCGACCCGCAACAGTCCCTTTTCCCGCAACTTCTCTAAAAAAGCCCTGACACCTCCTGACACTGGCAAATACCTCTCTTGCTGAGGCTCAAGATAATTTAAAGACCCACGCAACAACACATGGGTATGTTAGTATTAAGAATCGTACCAAGAGGATTGGCAGAAGGAAACAAGGTGAGCGTCAATAGCGTTGGCCATAATTGGTGGTTGGTCCAACATCCCTGCCTAATGATGCCATTGTTGCTCCACCAACATTGAAAATAATATTAACAAGGACTGCTAAAGACTTCGATGCCTCCGAAGATAATTGCATGTGCATACTACATGGATAACACATTTAATGAAACGGGGTAAGCCTGTTACATAGAATCGACTTCAATTTTTGTTGATTGAAATATTATCATAAAGATTGACAATTCTCGTGTACATCACCATGAGGAGTAATACTGAGATGCACACACCAATTAGCTGATACGGGCCATCATGTCAGTCAGCTCTAGCACGGTCCAATCAACGATGGACGCGCGCAATGAGTGGTGGGCAAGACTGTAGCATACACTTTTGTAACTACAAATTTAAGTTAGATGATAGTAACACCTCCCACGCCACGCATGAAAGCTACTCCTAATTGAGTGACATCGAACGGAGCGCGGTCGAATGAATGGGTTCGACCGTGGGCGAACATGCCGTATCAGCCATGCTTGACGCACTGGACGGAGATGGGCAGCACGCCACCGTCAATAAGCTTACTCAAGAAGAACTTGACGAGTCACGGGAGAAGTAATTTTGCTTCACCAGCAAGGTTCTCAACAGGCAGAGCTGTTGAGAGAACAGGGTGCTTAATAGTTCGAATTGCCGAGACGTCACAGGCACATGCTTCTGTCTCCGGGGAGACGCACGCGCGTCGAACCGAAAAGTTGAAGATAGACATCTCAAAGTACAGAGGAGTCAAGAAAGGCTCTCTGTTGAGATCCTTCGTCGAATAAGACGACGCCATTAAGGCTTGTCACATCACTGATGATCCAATGCAAGTCGCATTTGCTCAGTCGAACCTGGCTGGACGTGCCAAAACCTGGGCATTAGGGCTCAAGCTGCACAACCCAATGTGTTTGGATCGTTAAAGGTCTTCGCGACCCGGCTGGGACAAACGCTCAAACTCCGAGGGCTTAGTTCAGGGCCCGACCAGATCTCCTTAAACTCAAGCAGGATAAGCGTCATGTGCACACTTACGCCCAACAAATACGACTTGTTGTGAGTTGTATCACGGCAACTCGGTTTATGAGCACACATTGATCAATGTGTTGTTGCAAATGGTCCTATCAAGACTTACCTGTTCCGCTAGGAACCAAGTACGCTAAAAGAAGCGATATCAGTTGCGGAACAGGAAGACTTTAGCTTGAGACAGGATCGTGCTAGTTCGGGTTCACATCGTTCCCCAAGACGACAAAATGTCGGAGGTCCAGAGCCTATGGACCTCTGTATGCTGAGAGTGAGAGACGTGGCTATTCAATAAATAAGCGATTGCAGGGATAATTTGATGTCAAAAACATGGACCATTCGCTAATAAGTGTAGTGCCCTTCGCTTAGTATCTTGAAGTACCGAGCCATCGGTTCGACAATTTGCCAAGAAGGGCAACTGATGCGGGTTTAACGTGCTGCAGAACTGCCACAACGGAGTGGACCGTACAAAACTGCCAGTACCAGGAGGGGAGGGTCGCCCTACTGATCCAACAACGTCAAGAAAATTTGCAAATCTGATCATGAAAGTTGCTCCAGGACGACAATCACTGTGTGTGTCTGCAAATGGTATTAAGTAGCTCCTTACCACCTTGATCATGGGATTGACATAAAATTTGTAAATATTTGTCCTAGTAGACTGTGAAGAGTCGAACAAAACTGTTGGTCACCAGTTTCAAGAGGGTCTTAGGCTCAAGTTTGTTGAGCGCGACATCTCTTCAACGAGGATAACGGTGCGCCTCACAATAGGCGTATCCATAGCAGTGATGAAACGTGCAGTAGGATTTGTCTTCTTGTTAAAAGATTTGCAGTGCAATGGTTTCGTCGTACTTGATTTGGATGATACGTTGATGTCATCCTACGATTATCTTGGCTCAGGAGATGTGAGCCGAGGGTCAGCTGACAGCATCAATACGTGGAGATGCCTACCTCTTGTTCATCAGATAGCCATCGAATGAATCTCTTGAAGCGTCTACAAGCGTGTGGATTTACTACGATTGAGTGTGATGGCCTCGCTTGTGGTTAGAATTAACTAGATCACAGTATTACAACCAATCACACTACGAAGGGAGCAAACGGCGGCTTAGCGAATGCAAGGCAGCGCTGAAGGTCCACCAATCGAAAAAGTCGAGCGGATCGGGACATTGGTGTCCGAATAGCGGGCGACATCCAATAAATAACCAACCAGTTACCCGCACAGGACAACACGATCTTTTTAGATCGACTACATAGTCGATATTAAAGACCTAGCTGTGGTAGCGCAACCATAGCTAGAACACGTTGAGAAAATAAGTCCCACGTTCTTGAGAAAAAAATTCTTAATCAGTCATTAAGGAGGTAACTAGACCTCATCAATATGAGGGAATAAGTCCCCATCAGCCTGTGGAAAAGAATCCCCAGGAAGAAACAGCGACACTGAACGTCTTGGTATTAACAGGTTAAGTGTAGGAGCTTATACACTTGATCTAATCACGCCTCCGAATATGACTTCGGAGGTTACTCAATTGCTAACGCTAGAACCGAAACGGCTCTTGAGAGATATGGGTGGTAAAAAGGGTTAGGAGATTGGTGTACTCATCACAGAGGACGAGTACGTGAACGACATTCGGTCGGCAGTTGTGTTTGCCGAGAACGAACGAATTCTCAGCGGTTCTACGATGGACGAAAGCGTCCTCGATTAGAATACTCGGATAGAGCAAAACGCGTCTCGGTCTTGGAAGTCGCTGCAGGCATACAAGAATTTAATCAAATTTAAGGACGTGTATTTAATCCGTGCCATTTGAGTTGCCTAATAACAAAAGCACTCGATACGAGATCGAGCCCAACCAGGCTTTTAGTACTGTGTAATGAAGCAGCGGCCACTGCCTCGTGAACAAGTACTTGCAATTGTCAAATAATTGCTGATCGCTTTGCTGCTGTCATGTGAAAGAATTTGTTTGTTAAACAGCTACCCGAACTTCTGTGTGCGCAAGACAACAGAAAGATGGCGGATAGTGGATACATACAACAAGTTAAATGGTGCAACAGTGCCGGCTCAGACCACGATAGGGAAAGAACGAAATCATAGTGACATGGCAGGGAACATCATCTTTTCTTCTATGGATCTGATGGATGGATTCTATCAGATCCTAGTGCATGAACGGTACATTCCGCACACGGCAGTAATCACCCCGTGCGGTATGCTTCAGGAGTGGCTAGTAATTCCACAAGAGCTTGGCAACGCCCCTGCAACGTTAAACAGATGTGTTACAAATCTGTTGAGACCGGTGATGGATTTTGCACGATTTACTTTGACGATTTTTCGCCCACATCCGGGCTATAAAAAAACAAAAACGGAAGTAGAGGTTCACAGAACACAGGTTCGTCAGGTCCTTACACTTACGCAGATGCATAAGCTGTATGTCAACACCAAGAAGTGTATATTCGCTACTAGCGACATATCGCTTCTTGGGTGCATTGTGAGTAAACACGGCGTAGGACCTGATCCCGAAAATAATAAGTCGATCACCTGATGCCCTGTGCCAGTCTATGTCAAGGGACTTCGAAAGTCCCTTGGCTAAGCGGCGTAATTACACAAGTGCCCGCGAAACTACGCCAAAATGACCGTTTAGCTCTCTCACCTTATGTAAAAGAATGAGAAGTGGTCATGGAACGCTGAGTGTCAGCACTCTTTAAAGGCAATAGGCAGAGATTTATGCGATCTCCCATCTTGATGATTGCAGATCAGGACCATTTCATGTGGGCTGTGACGCCAGCGATTTTGTAATCGGCTGTGCTTTAATGCAGTCTGACTCAGAAGCCGCAAAGCGCGTCGTCTGTTTTCAATCGGGTCAGCCGCAAGCAGCTGAGCTTAACTACCCAGTGTATGACAAGAAAATC